GAGCAAACTCAGGGAGGCAGTGAAGGACAGGAAGGCCTGGCGCAATGTGGCTCATGGGGTCACGAAGAGTCGGACACGACTTAACGACTAAACAACAACAACAACAAAGGCAACCACGAGGTCCTCTTGCAAACTGACTCCTTGCTGCCGTGCACAACTGGGATAGTAACAATTTGGAGACCCATTGGCAGGATCTGCAAAATAATTTAGCGAGGTAATGGGTTCCCTCCACTTCTTTGAAACCCAGAGAAATTCAGGGGTTAACAGAAGCTCAGAAATAACTTTCCACTTTTTATATCCTTACAGCATTGTAGGAAAAGAGCTGCGCTAGTCTATGACAGCCAAAAGTCAGAAGGAATCTGGCGGCACCTTTTCAGATTAACATATTTTATGAGAAAAAGGTGTTATCAGATCCCCTCTGATTTATATCCTTGCCATTTCTGCCTTCTGCTGCATTTCAAATGTGATTCCGAGGTTCGTCATTGGTCTCATTACTTTATCATTTGGGAAGGTGCAATTGCAGAATGTTCCAGACCCTCACCCCCCAGATATTCTTAGCAGCACCCCCCACACACAGGCCCCCAAATCCATTTTCTTTGGAGTCTGGAGTAGCAAGGGAGAGATGCTGACCTGTGGGATGAAAGGTTCGAACGAGGTGGTGTTCAGCCGGATTTTAAACTCCTTAGGAACCTGCGGGAAGGAAAGACGCTTGAAGGGGACGAGATGGGAAAGCAGGAAAGGGAGCAGAGCAAATCCTAAATCAATTTTAGCCCCAGGACCTGTTGACCCTATCTGGCTCAATTATGAATACAATTACAATTAATCTTGTCTGGGGTTGAAAGGTGGGGTTGCAGCTTGTTCCAATGCCCTAGAGTTACATTTCTGTGAATTACTTGTACATTTTTCCATGAAACATCTTCATTACCTACTCAGCTAGGTACCAGTATAAGTCTTAAGGCAAGGAGATGAATAAGGAATACAAGATCTCTGAGTCTCCTAGAGCCAACAAACAGCCAACTTACACCTAAAGGCTTCCAATTCAGAGAACTAGATTTCCAGACAATCCAAAATAAATGTTCCAGATTCTGTCAGGATGTTGGAATCCAGTGGAGGAGGGGATCCACTCCACATCCTATGTCTACACTGAGACATCTTCATTTATTGAACAATGTGCCCCACCTTCAACAGTGGCTTCCCATATTCCAGCAGAAACTGCTGCAGCTTTGTTGATTAAAGTCACCGCTTGCAAACTTCACTTGGGATACATTTTTGGGATTCTGGAGCTCCACTGCCCCCCCCCCTTTTGCAGACTGTGGCAGGATTAATTGTGCACAGGATCAGGGCAGAGGAAAGCAGGATTAGCAAGTGCAGATGCTTCTGAGAATGACTTCACGATCCTGCTCTGCCCTCACCATGTTATCCGTGACCCAGAAGGTCAGTGATTCTGCTCTGTAGTAGACATTGCCCGCTGTGTTGAAGAAGTAAGTGGAGATCCCAAAGTAGATCATGCGGTCATGATCCACCGGAAGAGCCAAGGCGGGTGGTGGGAAAGGAGCAGGAGAACGATGGGTGGTGGAAAAAAATTCGCCCTGGTGGGAGAGGACATAAAAAGTTAGGAAGACACGAAAAGAGGAAAGGGTCCTGGGGAAATCTCTCTCTTTTGGTCTTTAGTACATGAATGCTGATTTACAGACTCTTCCATTCTTCCATATCACCCTGGTTAGGGCTGAATTTACACCTGTTGCCTTTCCTGTTGAACAAGAGAAACCACACTTCAAAATGCCAGGCGTGCAATGCAGTGCTGGGGAAAGAGTCTTCTGAAAAGGCAAAACAGGGTTGCTTCTTGAGTTCTTCCACTAACGTGCCCTTCCTTCCCACTCACCAAGATGATCCAAGTGGCTAATGGAAGTGAAATGAAACAAACCCTTGAAGCACAATTAAAGCACGCTGGCGCATATGAAGAACCATGTAACTTGCAGATTGTAGGGCAGCAGTATGGCATTGCAGGAAAGCCCTTGCAGATGTTATTTCAGGAGAAGCAATCATTAGGCCAGTGTTTCTCAACCTTGGTAACTTTAAGACCTGTGGACTGGTCTTAGGGTGGGTGGGGGGAATTCTGGGAGTTGAAGTCCACAGGTCTTAAAGTTGCCAAGGTTGAGAAACACTGCATTAGACATTCTAAAAAGGGTGAGCAAATGCCCTAAATGCTTCTCTTTCCTTCATTTAGTCTTCAGTTCTAACCTTCTCTTCCAAACTGCTGAGATGGAATGGATGAGCTGGCAGAAAATCAGACCCACATAAAAATTTCTGTCCTCAAATCTTGACCTCTTTCCTGCCAAATGGCAGTGCCTTCGTTTACATTGCACAGAACAGATTAAAGATAGGAATTGGAACAGCTAAGTTCCCCTCCTTCTCACTAGAAAACCCACATCAGACACCCTCTTGAATGTGGACTGGGGCTAGGAAGACTAGGTTTGACAGATGGCTAAACTGGTGGGTTAGGGTTAGGGTTGGAGAGAGACGTGGCTCCAACTCTCTCTGCTGTTTCAGTGCTATGCCTCTCTCTGTGCTGGGCAGCTGTTAGTCCGGTCAATCCCTCTTTCAGAGTTAGGACTCCAAGCTAGTGATAGGCTGAGAGACCTGCTGGACGCTGGGCACAGGGCAGTTTGAAAGAGCCGGAGCCTCCCACTGTCCAAACCAGGTGCAAGAGGAGAACTATCTTTAGATGCAAATAGTAGTCGGTTAATAGCAGCAGTGGGTGATCTGTAGCCCAAGATGCCCTCTCCACCCACAAATGCCCCGAATTCAGTGGCTTGGTTTCTCCCCATTTTGAAGTGAGAAACAAACAAGAACTGCAGGGAAGCCCTAAAATGGTGGCATCCTGTACTAGTAAGAAGAGGCTGGGGCCCACAGACATAAATTATTGAAAAGCGGGAGGGAAGGAGGGAAGAAGGATGGAAACAGGCAAATTCTGTCAGCTGGGAAGCATCGTTCTGCAGGAGCATCTTCCTCCAAGCTGTCTGCTGAAGCTCACCTTCAGGTCCAGGTCTACACAATCACTTGTAGCAACTGGTGGCCCAACCAGAGAGTAATCGATGCTAGCTGTGCGGTCAATACTGGCTGTGACTAGGGGGAAAAGACAACATGGAGATGTTATCAGGAATGTTGCTCCTTCCGGTATGGCAGTCTCATGGATGATGAAGAAAAAGAAACATTTCTACAAACTATGCTGTGGTGGCTCATAATGTGATAAGGGCAAAGCCTGTTTACTTCTTACTCTTAGGACATTTTCTTAACATTTCTTAAAATTTAAAGAATCTGCCTTTCTTTTAAATCTGTCATTCCGTGTCCTGAACTCTAGAACCATATGGAAAGCAGGTGATGGCCTTCTTCTGATGGCGTCCTTTGAGAAGTGATTTCTCCTCTCTGTGGTCCTTTCTCAAGGCTAAACACACCCAGTTCCCTCAGTCTTTTCTCAGATGACTTTGTCTCCAATCCCTTCCCTCGCCTGGACTTCTCTCAGAATCTTTCTGAAAACAAGGGGCCCAAAAGCAGTGCAAGAGAGTGAATAGAAGTTCTGGTCCAGAGAAGCCACTTGAGCAAAAATGTTGAGAAAGAACATTGGTTTCCTTGAACAATGCTCTTTTCCTTCTGATGGAGTGAGCTTTTGCGGGGCCACCCAAGGGATGCTCCAGGGGTTTTGCTCTTACCTGGCAGAGACTGAAGATAGGGCTGCAGTCTGGAGCTAACAGAACTTCTCACTATCTCACAGACCTGGGAAAAAAGCACAAGAAGATAACCCTTAAGAGAGGAAAAGCAGCAACTTTCAGCAGGAACCAGAAAAGATGGTAAATTAGGGCCAGGTCCACTCCAAGCAACCACTTCCTCCCCTGGCAGCTGTATATGACACCTCCTAAATTTGTATGCCAGCCAGCAGGCATTTGTGTGCTACAACAGAGTTTTGCAAAGGAGTCCATAACCTCAAAAATGGGCTTAAAAGGTCTCCATCAAAACAAATGTATGAGGAAGAGCTAGATAAAAAAAATTAGGAAAGATCACTTGAAAAATATGGTGGGGTTTTTTTGGCAATATAACAGTTGACTGAATCTGAAAATGTGGGCTGAGTTCAGTTGAGCAACTTGATTGCTCAGTGTCATAAGGCAACTGTAGAAAGCACTTTGAGTTGCTGATCTCTCACTGAAGAGCTGTTAGGGTGACTCATCCAAGGACTCCATGTTCCACTTGCTGAACAGCAGCAGAACCTCCATAAAAAATGTGCATACCTTTGAGTGTGTGTGTGCGTGTCTTTGTGCGAGCAGCTCCAAGCCTGGAAAGCTCAGATGCCTCCTCATTCTTGCAAGCCTCCCATCCTAGAAATCGAGGTTAGTGTGAAAGGCCCAGGGGCAGACCGCATGGTGCTTTACCTTGTCTTCCATGGCTCTCCTGAAAGCCGACTCAATGGCATTGTGGAAGAGATTATACAGCCAGCTGTGAAGGCAAGGGCCACAGATGAGGCTCATATTCAGTAGCTCAGTCAATTGACCCTCAAAAGCCTCCTTGCCTTCTTCAAGCCAGAGTTTAGGAGAGGCAAGAGAAGCTCTTCTATTTCTATTCCCCTTCCTTGATTATTTTTTAAATGTCTGAAGGGGTTCTGTTGACACAGAGGATCCTATGGAGCTGAGGGGCATCTGACATTTCTAGACCAATGGACTCCATGAGCGACAGAAGTCCTGCACCAGACCATTCACAGGTTATACTCAGTCTGGTGTTTGCTGTGGGTCAAATGGACCCTTTTTAAACCTCAGACCCTGTGATCTTCTCAAGGGAATCTTCTCCATCCCACTGTTGGCTTAACAGTTAACCTTTTTTACAGTATTTATAAGAGATGCCATCTGAATGTAGCATTACCTGACACAACCTGGAAGTAGTTGGACTGGCATGGCTGCCCCCCTAAGAAGTCCTGAGGAAGGTGATGGTGTGGAGAGAGGAGGAAGGGACTTGGCATTGCCTTTAAGAAAAGCCCATCTAGTCCAGCCTTCTGTGTCACCTAGTGACCTAGTCACCAGCTAGGACTAGAGGGGAGGAGCGCCTTCTCTTGTCTCCACCCAGCAACCGGGGCGGAGGGTCTGTTGCTTGGGATTCAGGAGGTAGTAGCCATCAATATTAGTAGCCCTTGTGAACATGATTTTCCATGTCTCTGTCCAGTGTCCTTCTCAAATCATCCAAACAGACTCTCATTTCAGCAACTGCTTTCAGCAGATTCTACTGCTTGGCTAGGCAAGGCACCACCAAGACACAACTTCAAACATGATGTTGGAGAAGATGGATCTGCAGCCTTCGAGAACCATCCCTTAGGATGACTGGGACACGGCTGTGACTCCATATGCCCTAGCATGGCACTAACATGACTTGGCAGCTTCTTTTTTTCTGCCATGTCCCCTTGAGTGAAACAGGCCTCAGTTTGCCTTTAGATATACCCATGTTAGAGTAGCTCCTTTCCCCCTAATTCTGACACCGTCAAGGGCTGCCTTCAGTGTTAGACTTTGTCCCCCTTATCTTGGAGAAAGTTGTGGGATGGAAGGAACTGGCTACAGAGACAGGAGAGGGGCTGGCTGGAAGGGCAACACGTTTCACAATGGCAGTTTTATGCTGGCTTGAGGATGGGTGAAGGACACAACTGATCAGTGGGAAAGGATCAGACTCTCGGGCCCAGAAAACTTTACATTTGAAAACTGGGTGGAGGCCACAGCAACAGCCAACTGTTCTTGTAGGCCAATTCTGGTGGGGGGGGGGGAGTATGAAACAGGCTCCTTTTGCATCGTTTAGTAATGGTGTTGGGCTAGGACTGGAGAAACCTGGGTTCAAGTCCACTCTTAACCCTAGAAAATCATTAGATGATTTTGAGTCAGTCACCCTTCCTCTCAGGATTATGGTTGTTGGGAAAATATGGAGGAGGGGATACCATTACACCACCATGAGCTCCTGGAGGAAAGGCAGACTAGAACTCTAGCACACAAACTGATAAATAAATAATGTTTGACCCTAGATCTTCCATTTCATAGGGAAGAAAGTGCCCCGGAGGGTGCTAATGTCAAGGATAGATATTAATATTAAGAACTCTCTCCAGCCAAGCTGTAACAGTAAAGTCAACATACTCCAGACTGCCAGAAATGTGAATGTCGACGCTGGAAATGCGGGTGCTGCAATCCAAGGTGGTAACCGCCAGTCTGCCAGTAGCATCACTGTCCAGCTTCAAGTCCACAGAGATGGAGATCCCCTCCACCTTCAGGTCAAAGGAGCCATGGTCCTTGCTGGTGGGAAACACAATATAACAGAAGCACTCACAAAGCACCTCTTGCTTCAGTTTCTTGAGAGGTGATTAAGCCACCAGCCTAATCCTGTGCTAACGCAGATATTCCTTCTGCCCAGCAGCTTGTTGTCTCCCCTGTCAAGCTGACTGTGTCACATTTGGCTTTAAGGAGACAATGGTGTGTGGCCTTGGAGGTCTCCAACATTCATATAAAGGCCAATGTTGGATGGGATTAGACTCCTTTGAAGAACCAAAGACATACATCTTACGGTTTCTTCTGGAATTGGTGCTCTTTATCACTTTTGCTGCTCACGAGCTAGGTCCCACCGTGGCGAGGGAAGAACTTGGCCATGTCCTGACTTCAGTGTGGACTAAAGTCACATGCTGTACATGGGGCTGGCTTTATAGATGTTGCAGAAGTTCAGCTGGTAAAGAATTAATCTGCCAGTTGAGAGGGTAGTTGAGGACAGCAAGCGTATAGAAGCTGTGTGGGAGTCAGTAAGTTTCCTGACCCAACAGAAAGGGTTCATGTTCCCCTTCTACTTACATAGAGATAGATAAAATTATTCTAAAATTTGTAGATTCCTGATACCAGACAATGGCTGCCTGAGCTTCTGCTCTAAACCATGGGGTCCTAATGCCCATGTGGTGTCTAAGAGGCCAGCCGTGGTGGCCCCAGGATGAACATTCTGTTTTGAGAAGGAGTTGCGGTTGTTTCTGCCACTTGGATGTGGGAGCAGAGGGACTAGTGGCCTTCCAGCACTCAGACAATCTCAGGAGCAGCTAGAAAGATTTGGAAAGGTAAGGAGCAGTGAGACTCACAACCAACGTTTCTTCACCTCCCATCGGCCAGTCAATTCGGCAGCAGCATTGCTGATGGAGACCCTGAGGCCCTTGCCAGGCACTGATTCAATTACTGAGTGGAACAGCTCAAACTTACGAATATTCAGACTGCAAACAAAGAAGGAGAGGAGAAAAAAACGTTTGGTCAAGGGGGGTTGAGTGTCTTGGCTCAATCTTGTCCTCAACTTGTCCATCCAGGTCAGTTAAAGACCCAGCAATTACATTCAGACAATATGGCAAGCTTGATTAGGGTTAACGTGAGTTAGATTTTGTATGCGTGTGATTTGGTAGGCTTATGGTTCAAGTGAAATGCAAATCCAGGAAAT